CTATAACTTCTGTATAAAAAGTTTTTCGCCAACATCAATAATTAATTGGATATTTCCTTCTATACTTTTTAGCACGTAGCTATTTATTATTAGCATTATTCTTCCGACGTCTGATTTCTTTTTAATTATAGGAAATGCGTTTTTCTAAGGTACATAAACTTTTGGGATTGACTGTATAGCCAATACATCCTTAATTAAACGATACGATAAAACTGAATCACATCGTTCAACTATTATTTTCAATGAGAATCGTTTATGAAGTTATCCGTGCTACATCAGCGAATTCCGTGACCATCCCTGATAAAAAGCAAACCTTGACGCGGAGTTCGTGGACCCGCAGAAAAATCCGATACAGGAAGAGCGTAATTCATGCCCGGTTTTTTGGCAAGTACCGCAATGCGGTCGGTAACTCGCGGTTTCCGAAATGTGCCGCGTTAAATGCAAGCGAAATTACAGACTGCCCCCCGAGTTCGTTGCGTCGAATACCAACAGCTCCGCGTCCGGTGGTTCTCAGTCGCCTCCAGGTGACTTTTCCATGGTCGGACCCGGGGCACGCTCGACGTGAATCGAATGAGAACCCGGAAGGCGGATTCTCCGCGCACTTCAAAGGGAAAAACCTGTCTGCATCGACGAAACGACCTGCATCCATTCTCAGGCGCACACCGCCGGGCCTCTTCACCGACGTACATATACGGCGCGACGTCTGCAGGTCCCGTTCGAGGAATTTCATGCCGCGTAGACGCCTAATTTGTCTTGGCAACTACGTCTAGCTCGTAATACTATTTGACGACAGCTTATCATTTATTTTCGTGACATTCCTGGCGGTCTTCAAACCGACATGAGAGGCTCTTAATTCCCTTCCGACCCTCCCTTCGAACGAAGGCTTCGATAAACGGTGGTTACATAATACGCGAGTTTGCACTTTTTTACGTTTGTTGTTCACCTGTTGTCTCTTGAAATTCGCCTGCATCTTCGCGAGAGGATAGCGAATCGCTGCGGAGGTCTTGCACGCCATCGGGAGATGAGAGCCGAGGGAAGAAGGGTGTCTCTCCGTTACAGATCACGCGAACAAAAATTGTCTGCATACAGAGAGAAGAAGAAGAATCATCCTTTGGTGCCACTTATTATTATGATTCCGAGTCAAAGGATATTACGCCATATGGTGCGAGCAGTACCAGCAAGGAACTGTGTAATCTGTGCCGGACAATATCGCTGATTCAGACGGTAGGGGAAAAAATGAAAGATTCTGGCATAATTTTTCGCGCTTCCCAAGCTACGCGTATGAATGGTAATTCTTCCTTTTTTTATTCGGAGTAAATCTTTATTCTGGCTCGGTCTCTCCGCTGGGTCTCAGGACCGGGCCCGAAAAGAATTTCGTGACCTGTTCCACGAGCAACGCATTCATTTCCATATTCTATGTATTTAGTGTTTACGTCTACTTCGTATCCGGTCGTCCGCTCCTGAATAGCTGACAAAGCCTGGCAAACTGGTAAATGAACTAGACGTTTGATATTGAACTCGCCGTTAACTCTTTTTCATTTAATACGGCACAATACACCGTTACGGCAGCGAATAATTGAACAATGAATAAAAGAGAAAAAATGATATCTCGTTGAAGTTACCGACGAAGAGAGCCACGGTTCGGGAGTATGTTAAAAACCTGCATACACCCGAACAAAGTATACCATTAGGACCTGTTTCTATACAACAAACTACACGACTATTCTGCTTATCAATTTAACGAAATCGTTCGTGACAAGTCGGATAAATTGAATTACCATATCGTAACGTCTGCAATAATTACCACGGCAACGATTCGGCCTCGCCTCGCCGTTTTCACCTGCAATTATAATATAGTATTGATTAATTGACAAGGGCAGTGTCAGTTACCTATCACGCGCTATTATTTATCGATAGGTAGAATGGTTGGCGATCTGATACGAATCGCGATTTTGGCGCATTTAAATCCGAGGTGCAAAGGGGATCGACATCGACTTCACGCGGGCCGGTTTTTATTGTTGGTCCACGTTTCGAGGGTCGATCGGTTCTCAGAAGGCAACGTCGAAATACCGCGACCGAGGCCTTGCAGAGACTTAAATTTCGAATCCCTACCACTGGCGTTTCTTCGCCTCTCTCGTATCCTTTCTTCTCTTCCGTGTCCCCGGCCAGCTTCTCCATTCGTTCTCTTCATCTCTCCTCTACTGTTCATTTCTTCTTCTTGTTACGCCTCGTCCTTCTCTGTTTCGCTTTCCTGAACGTTAAAGCTGGTCCACACCAACTTTTAAACATTCGCGTATTTAAATCTGATTGGGTGGCTGCAACGTGCACGACCTCGACTTCAGAGAGAAATCGAGCGGATCCGAATCTGATAGTGGGCGAAGGCACGCTGCAGTGAATTCCTGTTCAGCAGCCGGAAAAAATTTTCTCTCGGCCCATCCACACCCTCCGCTTACATAATGCATACTTGGGACACCCATGACGTTGGCACCGTGTTGTTACGTATTTACGGTGATCAACGCCGATGAATGTAATTATTGTGCATCACGTTTCAAGATTACACGATTCTTCCACCGGGGGATTTAAATACATAAATCTTACCGCGCGCTTCATCTCTCAATTACATGACGTTATACAATGTTTCAAAACGACTGTAGGAGGTAACAATAATATTCGACAGATCTCTGTAATACTGGAAATTGTCTTGAAAGGAAGCTTTAGTGAATAAATCTCATTTCATTTGGGAATTTTAAAACGATTCTACGAATTAGACCTTCATTATCCAGCGCGGTTGTAAAGAAAATAACCGAAAACAAAGTGCTGGTCACGAACGTGTATTCCGTACGAGAGTACCGCGAGTCTGTTTACGAGTATACACGTACACGTGCTCGCTGGAGTTCCAGCTACAGACTCCACGGTGGGAAAGTATTCGCGAAAGCACCCCGAGGCGTGCACCGAGCAAAAGGTATATTCACCGGGATTAAAGTACGCTCTCACAGGCATCGCGAGATCTCCCTTTTGTTTTTGTACATTACCTCGCTCATTTGCTCAAGGTCGCCCTACAAGGTTTTTATCCATAGTCCTGAAGGATGCTGCGCGTAGCGGACTTACAGACGAGAGGGTAGACTTCCAAAGACGAAAAGGAGAAGCAGGCCTCATTTATAGACTCGAATAATGAGAAAGATCTCCTACGTTCAGATAACAGCTTTTCGATGACGTGATCGTGTTTAACTTCTGCACACACAGAACAACTAACGCGCTGATGAATCGAAACACGCAATTGTGTGTTAGGCAAAGTTCTTAAATGATTGTACAAGTGTTTCCTTCCCGAACATATTCTTGGACGACTATTATTGAGTAACATTGTAAATTCTGTACGATAAACGGAAAGAAATTTTTATACTGACTATATATGATTTTATATTTCATTTCAAATGAAAGTAATCGTGATTATAAAACAAGGGATAGTTTGTATTCGCAATTTTCAAAGACGATAGTTTTAAAGGTTTTCTCGTAGCATCAGTGCACTTTCCTTTTTCCGCGGGTTTAAATGAGCTTGAAGGCAGGGGGGGGGGGGGGCGCATGGACCTAAGAACGCACACAAACGTGAACTACCACGAGTGCACGTATACCCGAAGGGTCGGTCGGCGTTTGATCGCGCCCTCCACAGTACATCTCCTCTTCTATCCTTTCTTGTTCTGACCGGCGAACAGAGACAGGTGACGGTACCTTTCCCCTACGTTGCCACAGGCCTAGCACGAGAGAGCATGTTAGTGTTAGGGACAGGCAGCAGCAGACCGCCGGGAAACCATTCCCGTCCGTTCGAGTGTCCTCAGTTGAAATCCGAACGGCGACCGGTCGAGACGTCCGCGCGACTTTGCTCAATTTTGGGCGCGCGTCGCGACAGCAATACAACCCGTCACGACGACTCTCGTTCAGGAATCCGCGATATGGACAACCAGGTCGGTGGTGGATCGAGGATCGACCGACGTGAAAAACATTCGTTAACTTGACAACGCTTTTAGGGTGCCGCGTTCGGTTTCCTGTGTCGTGCTTTCCCGCTTCCTGGCGTTGAGTTTGCTCTGTAGCTCGACGACAACGATTTCTCCCTTCGATTCTAACGCTCCTTGCCCTGTCGCGACGCGTGCGCCCAAACAATTCCTCAAATTGTTGAATTTATTCCACGAAATCTTTGCAATAAGTTTAACGAGACATACCTCGCCGCGCAAAAGACGATACGAGACAGAGAGGCGCGCTGTTTGAGAAACGGACAAGGAGAGAGTGGGGAAGTGTGACGAAGAGGGGTTCGCAGTTCTTATGTTTTTACGTGAGATTTATTGGATCGGATATCGTTGAACTGGCACGCGTCGTCGACCTGACGGTGTCCTATCGAACGCTCAGGATACGATCATGTTTCTCGCGAGTGTTGAGCGAGTTGTTTAACGGTGACAAGAATCCAAATATTCGTCGGGGAAAACATTTAACGATAGCAGAATGGTTTCAAGTGTCGGCACTACCTAAGATACTCCGAGGAGAGACAAAGGGAAAAGATCGTGCCGAGAGGCTGGGTGTTTACGGGTCCGGATCCGCTGAAACACTATTCAGGACTCCACGACCGCGAGTTTTCTTGGAAGCTTAGCCTTGAGAATGGATATGGATGCAGTGTCGAATAGGCTGATGGCGCCTGGGAAGATCGTGGATATTACTACCTACCACTCTTCTTTTTATTCTCCGCCACCCACCGAGGCGTAAGTAACGTGCACACACGTATCCTTCACTGATTTATGCGAACACTGACGTATATCTTGATCACGTGCTCGCACGTTTAACTCAACATTTCCTGCGTTATCGTAAACCGTGAAACGAGGAACTCATTAGGAATCAGATTATAGAACGATGCAGCCTTTATATACGGATTATCATAAGAGATTGATTTAACAGTGATTTTTCATCTGGAGCGATTTAATGAGAACACAGATACGATACGCGCAACAAGTTATTAGTAGATTCCATTGAAGCATTACTCCTTATTTAAATTGTCAACGAGACTTGACATCATCTCTCGCAAACTGTCAGCGCAACGAGACACGACGTTCATATGTTTTTATCAAAACAAATGAGCGTAGCCGACTCTTGACAATCGGCTGGAACACCCAGCAAACGATTTGAAAACATCTCCTATCGAGCACCGGAAGCCCCTGTTCTAATTCTCGGTGTATATATCAAAGGATGCGGCGTTATCACGGGATAGATTGTAACGCCGGTTCGTTTATCAAATACATTTACATTTACATGTTTCACAAAAGCCGCACAGAAACAATGTTGCTTCGACACGTGATTTGAAATGAACAATTTTGTAATCTTTTGAAATGTTCTTTCGGAATCTTTTGTGGTGGAACTTGTTCGAAAAGATTTTCGAGAGCCGGTCCCCATTTACCAAAGGAGAGAGACGGACGGCGTTTTCGAAAAGTCACCCAGTAGGTTGCACGGTTGGAGGGAAGGAGAAGAGACAAACGCTTAGGCAGGCAGAGAAGAAAAGCCGTAGACATTTTGGGAGGAACCTTCGTCTATCCCCGTGTTGTTGCCTAGCAGATATCCCGCTTTAAGCTCGTTTATCGCCCAGACGCCAGGAGGGAAAAAGACCGGGCCCAAAGATACGGGGCCCGTGTCTTGGTTTGCGCGCGCGCGTTGCTTTACAGCGGGGTCTACTCGTTCTCGACTAAAGGAGATTTAAACCCGGTTCCAGATCGAACCCGTTGAGAATTCTTCGGTCGTTTATTTCGTTTGCCGGCGGCGGACAAGTTTGCGTCTTCGTCCTTTAACCGGGGTCCCGGTGTATTAACTATTTTCTGAATCGGCTTAATAGCCAACCCTGACCGCCTTTCAGCACGTGCACCTCGTCGTCCCTATATCAAACAAACGTTCGCTGATAATAACATCCATTATTGCAATGAAATTGTACATTGAACGAGAATTAATATTCGCCGACAAAAAATGGTTACTTAATCCGAGGAATTCGATACCTGGTCCCCAGGTTGGATGCACGGCACGAAATGTGGGCTGAAAAAAAGTAAAGTTAAACGCTGTATCTGGTAAATCAAGATTCCAGGCCTGTTGGAAACGCGAAATCATCGTTTTAAAACAGGGAAAGAGAAAAGGGAGAGATTCAAGGCGATTGAAGGATCTCGCACAAAGACTCGTTGAATTTTGAAGAGTTCGCACTTAGGCGTGAGAGGCCATAAGTTGTTATCTCACAAGAACGAGAGACGGATACATCACAGATCACGCGCGAGAGACAGAGATATGGTTTCGGAATGAACGCGAATCCATGTGTCAGCAGAGCACATGGAGATAAACGGGACGTGTTCTAACGGCGACTTTTGTCCGCAAACCGCCCTGTGTATTTCATGGAAATCCGTCTCCTGATCTTGGACACCGTGTTATTCTCTTTCTGGAGGCAGGATGCTACTTGCACAGGTAGAATAGGACAGGAAACACGTGATTGGGTTTCTTAGCGACGTCTCGGATTCATGGGTTGCCGAGGGAGTGGTATGTTGCTAGAAAAGGAGAATTCGCGAATAGGAAAGCGCATTAACGCGTTTGGAATAGGGAAATATTTGTCGAAGGTCATCGTTTCTTTGCCACGACAGTAAATGTATTACAATAAATCGTAATACAAAATACGCTTGATACTATTATTTTAATGAACTCCTGTGACTCTTAGCTGACGCATGGGTGTAACAAACTCGCATAGTGTATATAATTACCGAGTGCGTTAACATCGTGTGTGGTCGTTCTTTTTCTTGACCGCCGTGTGAGGTTGCATGCACGCAGGGTGCAAAGTAAACTTAGAACGCGATCCACGGGATCGATCTAATTTTAGAGTAAATTCACGGAGTCTCGCAAGCGAATCTTTCGAACGACGGCTATCTTCTCACGTTATCTGAATATTCGTCAGATCGCGATGGTCATTTAAATTCGTAACGGAGAAGTACCCTCTTAGACAACAATTAAATAACCGTTTAAGCAGCTGCGCTTCTTTTAAAGCCTTTGGACGGATAATAATATCGTGAAGCGACGAGAAGAGTATAATAAGGAATGGATAGAGCAAGACAGAAGGGAAGATAGAGAAGACCTGAAAAGACGTCAAGTAACAAAATTCTCGAAGGGATTCCAGTTCTTCCGACGAGATTCGCGACTGGGCCCCTTGAGGAAGTCCCCTCTAGTAAAAAAAGAGGAACGACCTTTCTGCGTCTCGTTCTCTCTTTCTCCCATCTACTTAGCAGCCCGTTCTCTTTTCTCCTTATTCGTATCATTATTTTCGACGTCGGGTTCGTTCGAGGGTCGACGCCGGCGTCGATCGTCGGTAGGGTACGTAACACACAAGAGCGAGCCTGATTTCCAGCATCTGCTCCAGTCAAGAAAGACCGCAGTCTGGAACGACTTTGGCCCAAGCAAAGGCTTTGCATGCGTCTCCGATGCCTTCTTGCGTTCTATTGACTCTCCCGAAAGCGCCGGAGCATATGTTTTCGAATTGTTCTCGGCCGGGTGACGGCCAAATGATAGACCGACGCCGGTCTCGTTCGCCGCGCCTCGCCGGTGACATAATGAATTCTAATGATCTGCCCACGAACGGATCGTACAAAGCCAGCCACTTCATATTTATTCAGTGAAACTTTTATCGAATACCAACAAAGCGGAATGCTGTTAGATTTGATCACGGTTACTTGCAGCTTTGTCACTAATTGACGGCATTGATCGACGACCGCGTGAAATTCCGAGGGCCGACCAGATGTGCCGGGCGCATCAGCCGCTGAGACAGTGGCGTAGGGTAGATAGACATCGGGATGGGATATCGGGGACCCTCTAATCAGCCGGCATTAGCAAGGTGCGCGCACGGGGATCACCTCGTTGATTCTCTCGCGGCGCGACGCGACTCAGCCTCGATTCCCACGGTGGAATTAAAGATTCACGAGGAGAAAATACCCATCGCACTTGTCATGGGAACGAGCACCGGGTGGCTCGTCGCTCGATTTACAATTGGTCGCCGCGCGGGGTGAGGCGTGGTGCCACGACGCGCACCTCCAGAGACGAGGGGGATGAACCTCGCTAGCCGAGGGGCTTCCCCCCCGTTTTTTCTCTTTTTAATGCCACCGCACCACGTAGAGCCACGGGAAATTCCCTCGGCTCTACCTTGCTGCTGTATACCGTGCGAGCCAGGAGTGACATATGCGCGATTCAGGGTTGGGTTAGTCGGTCACATCCCGAGTACGGCATTGAACAGGAAGACCGTCGTGTAAATTTAAATTTTTATTTACCCATTAAACAAATTCACGTCACATTTACAATTTGTTGATTATCTCGATTTACGATTCTCCGTTAGTTTTATGCACAGCAGAGGACATAAACTGCATAGAGAGGGACGTAAATTCGCGTTTTATAGTATGAGGGGATAATTTAATGATTGGGAGGAATCGGACAGGAAGCAGGAAACGTAAAATCCGCGTGCACACCTATTCGGATTGCTGGAAGACGTCGATCGGACACGTGCATCCCTTGCATACACGTGCATCCACATGCATGCGTCATAAGAGCGGGTGCGTATGCTCTCGGGGAGCGTTCTATTGGGGGGAAGTTTGGCAGTGCGAGGGCATCGAGGCAGGTGGTAGCCAGATGTCTCTCGTAAGGACTTCTACCCTGATGTCGTTGCCTGCTCGTTGTAGCTCTTACGTATGTGTAGTACCTATGCGTACAAGCTTATTTGCGCGAGTATGGGTAGGTATATACCTATCCCTGCACCCTATGCTGCTCGTACAAATGGGGAACGCGTTCGGACTGGCGTAGAAATTTATCTTTCGGGCACATATACATAATCTGGCTCCCTTCCACGAGATGATTCACAGTTAGCAGAAATAATATAATCTCTTAAATATAATAGTAAAATTTAATTTTATAGTTCGCATATATAACATATGTATAGTTTCTTTTAATGTCGGATGACAATAAAAATGTCTATGTGGTCTACCATCGGTAGAGTTAAAAAAGTGTCGGGACTTTAGGGATTTAACAACAGTCGTCTAATTAGGCCGGTGGAATTTTTATGGCGCAATTGGAAATCAAATAACAGGCTTTTCGGTGAACCAGCGCGATAACCGTCATCATTTCTTTCTTTCTCTTTCTAAACGTGTTACCAAGTAGTAAAGGCCGCCATTAGTCCCTGCGACCCATAACCGCTAACTAGTGGAACAGGTAAAGGTGTGCTCGTACTTCCAGTTAGAATAAAATTCCACTCGTCTGAGTATCTTAAGTTTATTAGTATTTATAATGCCAGTAAAAGTTTGCCAATTGCAAATCTGATACTGCATTATAAAACGCAGTATAATTAGAATTTTGCGATTATCATATTAATCTTAATTTATTATTCTAAATTTATGTTTCATCAAATTTCTCGGAGGGTCTGTAAAGCGAAATGCGAATTCCGAAACGCGTCGGCCTTGATCTTGACTCGTCTCCTACATCTCCCTTGCTTATACCTCGCCTTCGCCCAATCTTCTTTTTTTATCACCTTGACGGGCTCAAGACGGATTCCCGTAATACCATTCATGAATCGGGCGACCGCAAGTCTAAAGCCTTGTTCAGACTGACAATGGAACACATTCATTACTTACAAACAGATAAAGACGGTCTGTGGTTTCTCAGAAATTATCTGCAAATCGCCTATCGGATATTAATATACAAATCGATAATA